TGATATATAATATAATATCTATTTTACTAACTGATTATTCGTTTTTTTATTATTCAGCCAATAAGTAAAAAATTACCTGTTTCCAGCTTCTCAAATGTGCAGATGTATTAGTCATTTATGACAGTAAACTGAATATCTTTGGGATTTAGACTGTTAAAATAAACAATTTAAGTGGGCCGTAGGAGATTATAACAGGCATTTTTTAAACCATTTTCAGACATTTTACGTACAAAATGATTAATTAAGAACTAATCGAAGGATAAATTGATAATAAAAATGATTGTTAGTTGCAGTCAGATGTGGCTGAAAGCTTAGCTCTGGCAAGTGAATCTTTGAGTTGAGAGCATTTTAGGGCTGTAACTTTGAGCAACTGTACGTGTTTTATTTTACATTTGAAGCTTCTATTGAAGTCTTCAAACGACGCTTCGAATTTCTGATATGTCATATTTTCATTATGTCATCACCCTAAAAGAAAAACAAAATCCTCAATTTGAATAAAATGATTCAATGGATTAAATGAGCAGGATTAGTCGGTTGCTGTTTGTAAGCACACAATTCAGAAAGAAAGAAAGAGATAGTAGTGATGGTTGAGTGACCTAAAGAGTGAATGAAGAGAGGGAGCTATCCTGGAAATAATCTGTGTTGTCCTGTCTACATGCATAGAGCATCAACTTTCTTGTTGCTGTGGTTGATAAATACCGGCACAGTGGTGTTAATTGTATGTGCAATGAACACTTTAACTTTCTAGAAGATACATTTTCTGTAAAATAAAATAAATTCTACTTGATTTGAACTGTTACTGATGGGCTGTGGTCAAATTAATGTAGTAATTTGCCTGAAACCACAGCTTTTATGACTGTTTGTATGCAAGTGCTGTCCTGTGGAGTCAAGAAAAACTGGAAAATGATATGTTAAAAATAGTGGGAACCCTGCCCAAGTTTCTCCTCACTTTCCAATTTCTAGGCTGCTATTGTTGCAAGAGGATTTTGTGTACTGTAACTGTGGTTATGAGGTTTGTCTTGCAGCAAACAACAAAACAACTTTGGCTGCACAGGGGCATACAATCCAGGTAGAAAATGGTTTTAAGGGAGCTGCTTCTTTTTCAGAATCAACACAAAAAAAAAAATCTGTAGATTGAGGATAATTGGGGTAAAAATGATCCATAAAGTGGTAATTTGCTGTATTATTTAATAATTGACTTTTGTTTGGTCAGGGTTCCAAACAAGGCCTCTAGGGTTCAGGGTTCAGGGTTCAGTCTCCATCCTGACGTCCACTCAGCCCACACACAGTCGGGCCCTCAGGAGAAACACTTGGCAGTAAAAATATGGAGTGTCACTGCTCCACCCTGCAATTATTCACAGCCTCCCACATCCATCACCCACAGCAGCAGACCAGAGGGAGCTCCAGCACTTCATTTCGCTTTAACACCACGTTTGAGATAATCAATGAAACTCACAGATCACAACACAAAAAGCATTAAGCTATCAGGAAACTTCGACAACTACTTTATTTTCCCTCTGCAGATAAATTGAGTCTGAGGCTGGACCCCCCTCTGGCCCAAGTATCAAATAATCAAATAATTTTTTTAAATAAGCTTTTATCTATCAGGAAATGTCTGCAGAGCCGCCTCACCCTGCTTCACATTCACTCAGCTGCAGCTCCGCTGGGGCAGCTGCCAGTTTAAAGCCTTGCTTGAGGGCAACAATTAACAGCTAATTAAACAACTCAGAGGTAGTACAACGCTAACAACAAATAAAACCAAGGTTCAAAAGTGGCACTCTCACTGGTTTGGAGTCAACAGAAGTCAAAGAAGTCAAAGTAAAGCCGAACAGTGATACTTAAGTTCATTACTCATTAAAAACAACAATTTTGTGGGGGTCTGCTCCACCTCTTGCTGACACATGGCTGGGTGAAATATATAGTTAATCTTGAATGAAGGTACAGTTTATTTCACCATGCAGAGGTTATACATTCATCTTTTAGGCTTTTAGCTCCTTGCATATGCATCCATAATGTATTTTTCTACAAATAAGAAAATCCTTAATCCTGCAACACCTTGTGCTGGCTAATGTGCAAAAATACTAAAAAGCTTTGAAATTGTGTCTTTTTCAAACCCTTTTGGATTAATCTTCTTTTTTGTCATCTTGTTTTTGAATTTTTAAGCACTGGCTCTACTTTATCAAAATAAAAACCTTTGTTTCCCTTTGTGCAGCTTTATAAGCAGCTGAACAATAAGACCACGACCCATAGCCCCGACCGCCTGGTTTCACTTTCACAATACAGTCAAAAGATCCAATGTTCAACCTCGAAATGATGCAAATACTCTGATTTAGAAGAGGATAATCAAGCCTTGCAGTGTGTGTCTTGGGAGGCTCAGTGTGTCATTTACTCTGTTCTAACAGACAGTAAACCACCAGGTTGTGTTTTAGCTGAGACAACAGTTAAAGGTCACGACTGTGGTCTGTGGTTTGTCCTCTCTGGCCTGCATGGCTTCATGTGCTGCTGCCTCCATGGAAAAACTACAGAGCTTTCTTTTGAAGTCACAGATTCTGCGGTAAATTAAGTGTTTTCATAAACTCCAGGTGCTCGGAACTGGTGGAAGACATCTGTGGCACGGTTTAAGAAATACACAGGAGGAAATGCAAAATCCCCTTTCTGAAAAGCAAGGAGACGAGACTGCTGAACCCTCGAGGGGGAATGTGCTTGCTGCAGCAGGAAAAGTACCAGGAATCACTGGGATAAGAACAAACACAAAGCAGATCTATGGCAGTGATACGTCTCTGTGGACAGAATGGCAGCATTGTGCGGCTCGGGGCCTCTTCCAATGACAATATGACATGTTTGTGTTTACGCCTTGCTGTGTGCGCCGAGGTGCATATTCTTCCCACTGACCAACATCCTGCCAAGACAAAAGAGTTTCTGTGCCCTGAACAGAAGGGCGAAGGCAACTGAGAGCAGGAGACAACTGTGTGCAGTATGTCTGCACACACAGAGCAGCACATAGCAATACATCGGAGTTATTCTATTCAGCTGGTGTATTCAGGTCAAATCTTAGACATCAAAATTGCCTTTAAAGTGATTAGGCAAAAGGACATAAGAAACCATGTTAATGGCAGACATCAAATAATGTCTTTAAATGTATTAAAGTGGTTACTGTTATTTAAATCATTTGTATTTTTACAGAACAGTCATTTCCACTGTGATGGAGATAAATCCTTAATTCACTGACGTAGATGATAAGAACAGCATCTTAAACATGCACACGGCATGAAAAGGGAGTGTGATGTGATTCGCCGCTCAGAACACCATGACTCCTTGTTTGCTGCTATATTATTGTTTTAAATCTCATATACAGAATATTTAACCTTTAACAAGTTACTGCAGAAAGCTGACAGTTATCTGTGACTGATACAGGGATGTTCTGGGTCGTCTACCATCTTCCTAAGCGAATGTCTGGTGGACTGAAGTTTATCAGTCGATACTTATAATACTTAATAATTATGGACATGCACTAAGAATTCTCATGTCTCATGTTATTAACATTAACAATTAAACCAAGCCACCGTTCACTTTCTGTTTTCTTTACAAACTCAAACCGGCTTACATTTAAAAGGGGACATCTGTGTCTCATTACCAGCAGTGCCAATGAAACGGGGCCAAACAGGGCTATAAACCAATGCCAGCTAATTGTCAGAAAACTGCAACACTTGCGCCTGAAGCAGCGTGCTGCGACTCACAAACCCACCCTCCCTGCCCTCACCTCTCAAGCTGGGTGTTAACATCTTATTCCAGCTTGAATGTCTACCAAAGATACAAGAAAAGACCACTGGTGAGTTCAGTTTTCTCTGGCCAAAGGTGTTTAGATTTCAGCATTTTCCAGAAGTACTTTTTGATACGCTTCTTGTAGAAAGTGAAATGATTTGGGTAGACGTGGCTAATCTTTGGTATCTGCAGTTGGGGCACTTTGTGGTTCAGCCTGATGAGTCCGACAAATTTGGAAAGAACAATTTGATCTGGGGCAGCAATGCAATAATACTGTATGTCCTAATGCTGGAAATAATATTGCACTGATCTTTGAACAATCAGCAGTGATACTGATGAGGTATTAGCAACACATTACTGATTTGCATTAAAGAATATGTCTTCTGAGCCTAATCAGTGAGATTTGCCAATTTTAAATTGAAAGCGAGTTCTTTTATTTAGTTAGTTCTTACATAATTCTCTCTACCCCATGTCGCCCCAGGAATGAATAAAGTCCATTCCCCCGCTATTCAGGATACTTCGATGACCGCAAACACAACAGTTCCCACAGAGTCAAACACTGTGATGTCCCCCGCATCCGCTCTTTGCTAAATCGGGGGCCAAATATTATCATATCTTAAGTGTAAAAATATCTTTGTTTTGAAGTCGGCGGGAAGAGAACGTCTCTGTCTGTCTGATAGAACAATGGAGCGACGGAGGATGTGAAAGTTGTCCAGCTAAAATCAAAGAGGAAGGATGTGAGGAAGGAAAGCGGCGAACAGAGGATGGAGATAGAAACAGTATTGTGTGTGTGTGTGTGTGTGTGTGTGTGTGTGTGTGTGTGTGTGTGTGTGTTTGTGTGTCGTGGCATGTAGCGCTCAGATCCTCAGAGCTTCAGCCAAACTGCCCAGGAGACTTGATCAAAGTGTTTGGCACACTGAGGGGAGAGTGATTAAACGAGTTTAAGACCGCAGCAGTTTATTCAAACGGCCAATTAAAGCTCTCAATATAACCTCTGACAAGAAAGGTGCTGATATCCTGACTGAGCATTTGCTGTTGGTAAGTCAGCAAAAGCTGGGAAACTATCAGGAGACGAAGAAACTTCTGGCAAAATTTAACTTTAGTCTTTGAGATTTTCTGCCTCCTAATGGCCAAAAATGTGTTAATGCAGTTTTAAAGTTTGCACGAGTTTGATTAAACTTGAGCCTGGAGATTCAAAGACAACCACAAAACAGGATGGCCCATTCAATATCACCTACCTGATCAGGACACACTGGTTCTGCAGCCTCTTCCACAGCGAGCGGTAGCACTCGTTGGCGACCGCAAAGATGTGCGGGGAGATTTCGCCAAGGTGGTGTCGGCTGTACATCTCCACGGCCGGATGGTCGTACAGGCCGGGCAGCGTCTGGTAAGGGTTCACCGCCGCCAGGATGGAACCGATGTACGTCTGAGGGTCGGGACATAGAAGGAAAATTGTTAGAAACACAAGAAAAATATCACAGAGATAATCTCAAGACTTGAAACCCTGAGAAGGAACCGACGCTGAACCTGTACGTAATTACTTGTCATTTAATGATCGATGGTCTTTACCAAACATCCCTGCTGCCTGCCATGGCTCAGTTGGAAGGACAGACGGGCCAAAGGCGACACATAATCCAATTTCTCGAACAACAGCAGAGTCATAAAACCCATATTAAGCTCCAAGGAAGGTAGAAGAGAGCAAACATAGCAAGCATCTCCACACGTGACCTCAGTAATACACAAAATCTCCTTCACCACTTCTACTGGGCCTGTTGGGAAAGCTCAGCAGCACAACTCCTAACGCATCTGACCTTTTCTTTTCCCCACCTTCCTCCCCCCTGAACTGCAGATTTTCCAAACCGGCTTCAGATTTCAAAGCAAAAACAAACCAAGCTGCTGAAATAGAAGCTTGTGAAGCCAGAAGAAGTCTTGGCAGTGGCTGCAGTGCTGCGGTGGTGACTAATGGATAAATAGGCAAGCTTGGAAAAAGGCAACACATCAGCATGCATCTGTGAGAAAACAACCGGGTATGTTTCTACGTTCTGGACAGTCGTAAAGGTTACAGCAGCATCATCTAGACTCTCTGTCAGAAACACTCCTCGTCACCATCAGTGGTAAAAGTTTGAGCGGTTGCAAAAGGTTAGAGGAGCATTAGGCTGTTTTTTTTAGCATCCACTTGAGCATAAAAACAGAGATTCTGTCAAAACTGAGTCTTCATGCTCATCTTTACTACGTTAAATACAGCCAAGGATGACATATCCTGCCACTAACACAGTGCTCTGAAGAGGAGAACATTTTTGTGCGTGCACCTTGGACCAAAAGGGAAAATCTCATTACAGCAGAGCACAGTGTTCCCATAACCAAACATTAGGTTGTGAGTGGCCCGGAGGAGGAGGAGGAGACGAAATGCATTTAGGAGACCGAGAGAGAGAAAGGGGCAAGACATTTTGGTCTGCAGAGCATCTCCGTCTCCCCTCCTGCAGCCACATGACTCGACTCTCTCTTATCCTGGTCATCTCCACCGGGCCCGACTGACCATAAAAACACAAGACGACATCTGAAAGTAAACAGCTCTGTCAGTCAGTCACAGTATAAAATCTGAATTTCTGTCTTGTTTTACTCTAACAGAGGTGGATTCATATTTTCATGACATTTTTAGGGTCGAGCAGCGACTGCAGAGAAGCCTTATTAAGATGCAAGGAATTATTATAATTTTAATCCAACAGGATCTCATTTTTTACAATATTGGGAGGCCGCAACATGCTTGAAAACTCATGAAACGCAGCACGTGGCAAATTCAATGGTGGCGGAAATGTACAGATTATAGAGGTCCTGCACTTGGGTGTGAAAAAATAGCTCGACAGTAGCCTCTAAACTCCTCAGTACGCACGTGTATCATGACCACACAAAAAACAGCCTCTTGGACCGACACTATTACAATTAAAAGTTGTTGTATTCATGACTCGGTGTCGAATGGCGTATCCGTGGCTTGGCGTCAAATTCGAACGTATCGCCATGAAACAGGAAGTTGGGATAACTTCAGGGTACTTTGTCTAATTTCCACCAAACTTATTTAAACAACATTCAACAGGAAGCGCCACCTACTGGAAACAAGAAGTAAGGCTTGTCTGGCAACATCAATCTCATTTACCATGACCATACCTGACCATCGCTGCTTGCAGCTTTAATACCTGTTTATTTTGCTTGTTTTACCAAAGCCAGATATTTTCTTTACATCTGTAGCTATTTATTATTGTTTTATTACCTGTTATGCAGCTAGTAAAAGCGCTATTCAAGTTTATTATACTAGAGTGGAGGTTCAAAGTGTTAAACTCTTGCTAAAACAAGCAGATAAATTAAAAACAGAAGACTTTTTTACCCTATCATAGATGTCAATCACAAAAGGTTTCCAAATACTGTTTAGTTTGGATAAATAGGAGGAAAAAACCTAAATGGTTCTGTGTAACAGGGTCTGCCATGCCTGAGGTGAAACCATGTTCAGCGCTCTGAAGTGGAGAACTTAAATTACAGCCATAATAACGATAATTAGTTTAATAGCCATGCAGATGTATAGGGCATGGAAAGAATATCAGCAATAAAAACCACCCTGGTGAGGCGAGGTTTCAGCTGAGCAGGTTGGTTTGTTGTGGAGCTGAAAGAGAACCTGACCTCTGTTCTCTTACTGATTGTATGTTTTTCCAGAGACGCTCACTCTAGCTATTACCATTATAAATACAAGAAAAGATCAAACCTCTGGTAGATGTACTCTAGTCATTACATGCATGGCAAATATTTGTGTTAGCAGATGTAGTGTTTCCAGCAGTCACACATAGCTGTAGTAGCATTAGGCCAGTGTTCAGACACAGTCACTGATGTAGGGGAATGCCATTTTATTTGCAGATAGATGTACACAAACCTGGAGCCGCCTTTTTAAGCCGTAAGATCACACTTTTATCTTGATGCCATGCAACTAACCCAGGTTTTGTTGCCATGTTTTATCAGATTACTGTACATGTACTGTGTGAATCTCTTTTTAAGGATAATGTTGGTGTTATTCTATATTTTCTCATCAAAAAATTCTCTAAAAGACCCCCAAAAAATACTCTCTGACTTCCTGTCCGTGCTTCTCAGCTCCTACTGAAATAGTACTGTAGTTTTTAACAAATGGTCTTCAAACAGTATATAGTGCATCTAGTGACTTCTATTTTGAATATGCATTACATATTAGAATATGTGTCCTACCACATGTTACCAATAATGTTAAGAAAAAAAAGCTAATAAAACCATCAAATCACCATGAAACCAACTCCATCAGATCAAATCGCCTCAGTCTACACATTTCCCCCCTCATGTTACATCTTGGCTCAACATCCTGTATAAAACAAAAAATACATCAAATTAAAAGCTGCTTCACAGTGACTTTAAAAGGGAAGATGAGGTCACTTTTTCTGTCGAGGAGGTCTGCATGGTCCCCTCCCTGTACAAACATCTCCATCACCTACCCTCTGTTGCTCATTAAACCCCTTACGCTAATCTCCCCTCGCCATAAACGGCCTACTGACTGACTGACCTACATTCAGCCTGGATGCAAATACATTTGAATGGCAGTTGAGGTGACCGTATTTACATGACAAATACTGGCTCTGCACTCTCCTGCATGTGCAAATCAACCTGCACTGCGCCAGATGAGAGCGTACGAGGGGGAGGGCGGTGTTATAGTAATGTACAGTGGATCATAAATCAGCCTGTGTGTGTGTGCGTGTTATCTCTCAGAGTGTAAACACAGAGTAGCAGCCGCTCTGCTCAGATGGAGGAGTCGGTTTTGTAGGCATACGAGCAGAAATGTCTCCGCCCCGGCAACGTAAACAGTTTACAGCCGGGCTGATCTCTGGCTCAGAGAGCGTCACTCAGCTCGTGGTGTAAAAGTCTCTACAGGTGATTATGTAGTGCCATGTAATGTTTGGGATTTTTACTTGAGTTCTTGTTTAAAGTATCTGAAGGAAAGTCTTAAAGAAACCTGCTGCGACTCAAACTTTTACACCTTGTGACAGCTGTAAGTGGTTTTTCTCCGTGGATGAATGTATGCTCAGTCACTTCTGGATCCTCCTCTCCTGTACTTAGATATGCTAAGTGCTAGGCTAATCTATGTTAAAAAAGACAACTGCATTTTTTGGATTATATAACAATATAATAATAGAATAAAGAAAGAAATAACCAACCAATAAGATGACTATTGCATAACAGAACAATGTAACCTTAGAAAAGAAAATGGAAACCAGGACTTTTAGCATCAAAAGTGTGTCTTCTATGTATTTTCTTTTTTTTTTTTTAAAGATGCCATTCAAATTGTAATCTTGCTAATAATCCCCCTTTTTATTTTTTTCTGATTAAGAATTTCTTTTCTGTAACTGTAATGGATTACAGTTCCCTTTTTTTGTATCTTGAATAGATAACTTACATGTAGGAAAATCCGTTAACGACTGATGTAAATCAGCTAGTGAACGATTGCTGTGGATTATCTGGCTAGTTTGCTAATGTTTTGCTAACTTGACTACCTTAAGATGTGTGGATAGGTGTTGTTTTCATCTTTTAACCATCTTCAACGTAGATTACCTTAGCACATAGCCTATCTAGGTACAGGAAAGGAGAAATCTGACGGAGGTTCCTCAACTGTTATGCAAAAACGTGTATAAAGTGTATAAAAGGTGATGCTCAAAAGATTATGTGTATCATTTTACTTTTTGACATTATAATGAGCAGAAAACCCCACTGACAAATGGCAGATCTGTGTCACTGGTCAAACTGACCTCAGGTGAGTCTTTGGCTTTATGACTGATAGCAGTGGTTGAGCAGCGACTTCATGTTTACACAAAGGCGTCAGTCACTGCTGATGGTGTAACCGTAGAACAGAGGGAGGCACGCAGGCAGCCGGAGCGCTCCAAAACAACTAGATCTCTCTGAGACGGAGCCAGATAAATGCACTGAGAGGGAAATGAAGACCAGATGGAGAAAAAATAAAACTCCTGGAGGATCAGAGGCAAAGCGCTCGCCAACCTGCCTGACTGACGGCAGGAAATGTAAGAGAGAGAGAGAGAGAGGAGGGGATATGAAGCAGTCACTTTTACCGTGTCACCAAGACAAATTCCTGCACATTTGTTATACTTGGCGATTAAAGCGATCCTGATCCACCGTTTATGTTTAATATCGCTGCTGAGGGAACGGAAACCCCACATCTGCAAAAGTCCGGCTGCTGAAGAGATTCTCTCAGCGGTGCCCGTTTATTGTTGAAATGATGCAATGGCAGTTGTGACAGCTTTCCTGTGGACTCAAAAACCTTCTCAACACAAAATAAACAGTGGAAAGTTTGAATTCTAGTGTAAGGAAAAACAAGAAATATATTAAAATTCTGTTTTTGTTTCCCGACTG